ACTCGTGACCTCACAATCGTTCATGACTTGATCGTTTTGATTGTTGGATCGATCACAATCCTTGTCTCCTTGATCGATTTCAACAATTCTCTTGAAGACTTGAAGCATTGAAGCAAGTATCGACTAATCGACCCTTTGGCCTTTTCTGTCTTTTTTCAATTTCTACACTACAATGAAACAAGTAAGTTCTACTACCAATTCATTAAGATATTTGAAATTGATATGTTTTTTAGAAGTTATTGATTGACTTGGGTGAAATTGATTTGTTTTATTGAAGTTATATTGTTTGCTTAGGTGCAATAACTATGTTTTTTTTATTGAATTGATTGTTTAATTAGGTGAAATTGATATGTTTTATTGAATTTATTGTTTAATTAGGTGAAAGCAACTTGTTTTATTGAAGTCATTGTTTGATTAGGTGTAATTGTTATGTTTTTATTGAATTTATTGTTTGATTATGTGAAAGCAACTTGTTTTATTGAAGTCATTGTTTGATTAGGTGTAATTGACTAATTGTTATGTTTTTATTGAATTCATTGTTTGATTAGATGTAATTGTTATGTTTTTATAGGTTAAACTAAGTGGCTTTTTTTTTACCAAAAGACAAAGACCTAATCCTAATGAAAGTGGTGAAGAATGTTCCCAAATACCAATCACCAATCAATCAATCCCTTCCGTTTCTAATCCTAATGCAACTCCACAAACACTAATCACCAATCAATCAATCCCTTCGGTTTCTAATGCAACTCCACAAACACCATGCTCTAACCAACCTAATGATAATCTTGACTTGAAAGATCTTCCAAAGGACCCGGCGGATAGGTCATTGATTACAAGTTACAAACCAAATATAAGAGATGATGTAAGAAGAGCATATTTGCTTCAAGGACCGTGTCAAGTAAGGGCACATAAGTTTCCTAAAAAAATAGGTGATAGATTTAGAAGATTCGTTCCTTCATGGTTTGATGACTTTGATTGGTTGGAATATAGTGTGAAAAAGAATAGTGCATATTGTTTATATTGTTATTTGTGTGGGGACCTCATGGGACAAAAAGGAGGGAGAGATACATTTGTTTCCCAAGGTTTTGATACTTGGAATAAAAAAGATGCATTTCGGACTCATGTGGGTGGTGTTGATAGTTTTCACAACAAAGCAAAAGAAAAGTGTGAGTTTTTAATGAGGGAAAAACAAGCTATTAATGTAGTCTTGAGGAGGCAAACCGAAGCAGAGGACCATAAATATAAAGCTCGATTACGTGTTTCTATTATTGTTGTTAGACTTTTATTGAAAACCGGTTTACCGTTTCGTGGTCATGACGAGTCGGTTAACTCGGAAAATAGAGGGCTTTACATTGAAGTGTTAAAAGCCATTCGAGAGACTAGTGAAGATATTTTCAACAATACTTTAGAAAATGCTCCTAAACACAATCAACTTATTTCCCCTAAAATTCAAAAAGAACCTGTGCAATGTTTTGCACAAGAAGTACTTTTGAGTATTCGTGAAGAGATTGGTCAAGATGTTTTTGCTTTACTAGTTGATGAATCTAGTGATGTTTCAAAAAAGGAACAAATGGCTATTGTTTTGCGTTATGTCGATAGTCTTGGCTTTGTGAAAGAAAGATTCATAGGACTAGTGCACGTGAAGGATACATTTTATATTGACACTCAAAAACGCCATAAATGAAGTACTTACAAGTAATAAGTTGAGTTTAGTCAGGTAGTTTATTCTTTACTTTTTTGTTATTTAAATTTAATTATATATATATATATATATATATATATATATTAATTGTTTTAAATTTTAATAAATAAGAGGACAAGGTTACGATGGGGCTAGCAATATGCGGGGGGAATTCAGTGGTTTGAAAGCTTTGATATTACAAGAGAATGACACGGCTTTTTATGTACATTGCTTTGCACACCAACTTCAATTAGTGGTTGTGGCTGTAGCAAAGAAGCATGATGGTGTTAGTGACTTTTTGAGCAAATTTCGTTGGTGGTTAATGTTGTTTGTGCCTCGTGTAAAAGAAAAGACTTACTATGAGAGCAAGCAAGAGAAAGGGTGCAAAAAGGTTTGTGTAGTGGTGAACTTGAAACCGGAAGAGGGTTAAATCAAGAGACAACACTTGTTCGAGCGGGAGAAACAAGATGGGGTTCACATTTCAACACACTCACAAGTTTGATAAAATTGTTTGCGGATGTTCTTGTAGTTTTAGATTTTGTGAAAGAGGATGGAGGGTCATTGGCAAACCGTCAACAAACATCTGGAATCTTAGCATATTTTAAATCATATGAGTTTGTGTTTTACTTACATATGATGTATGACATTTTACACCTCACGGGTACATTGTCAAAGCAACTTCAAAGAAAAGATCTAGACATTTTAGAAGCGGCTTCGATGGTTAGAGGGACAATGGAGGCATTGCAATCTTTTAGAAACATAGGGTTTGCTAGCATTTTGCCAAAAGTATCATCTTTTTGTCAAACACACGAAATTGATACTTTAGATATGGAAGAGTTGTATATTGGTGCGAGAAAACGTAGGACTACAAAGACTAATAGGTTTCATTTTGAGGTAGAAATCTTCAACACGGTGGTAGATATGCAACTTACAGAATATCGGGATCGATTTAGTGAAACAAGCACCCAATTACTAGAATACATGGGTGCTTTGAGCCCTTGTGATTCATTTGCACAATTTGACAAATCAAAGTTATTGAAGTTGGGTAAGTTATACAAGTATGACTTTGATGATTCAGATATGATAGACCTTGAAGGACAACTTGAGATATTTTGTCACTCTTGCATCAAAGATGAGCGCTTCACTAGTTTGAAAGGAATTTCCGACCTTTCTCGTTTGATGGTTAGTACGGGGAAGCATCGGTCTTATCCTTTGGTTTATAAGCTTTTAAAGTTGGCTTTGATATTACCCGTAGGAACCACAAGTGTAGAACGATGTTTTTCAAAGATGAAGCTCTTGAAGACCGACTTGCGTAACAAAATTGGCGATGAATTTTTGAACGACGCATTGCTTTGTAATGTCGAGACCGAAGCACTTGCGAAAGTTGAGAATGAAAAAGTAATGGAGCGGTTTCAAAAGATGTCTGCACGAAGATGACGAATTTAAATTCTAATAGATCGTTGTTATATTATGTTTAACCAGAAAAAAAAATTGTATTAGATGTTTTATATTATGTTTGATCGGATTTTATTTTTAATGTTTTATATTATGTTTGACCGGAAAAAAAAAAATTGTGCAACCCCTACTACTAATTCCTGCGTCCGCCCCTGATAATGTTAGTGCCATATACATGTCGGGAAATCTCATTCAACATCAACGCACTAAACATATCGAAATCGACATTCATTTTGTTAGAGAGAAAGTCTAACGCGGCCACATAAGGGTTTTGCATATCCCATCACGTTACCAGTTTGCTCATATTTTCACAAAAGGATTACCACGTGTTTTATTTAACGACTTCAGATCCAGTCTAAGCATTCGACATCCTCCTAGACTGAGGGGTATATTAGACTAGGAATTATATATCGTCATGTTTATAATAGTTGAGGTATCAAAACTGTAATATTTGTACCTATATATATACATCTCAGGGGGATAAAATTGGGAGCTAAAATTGGGAGCGACCATATTCCATTAAATAACGTGTTAACTCTTGTTTGATAAGTTGGAATGAAGATATGAATTAGTTGGAAATAATTAAAATATCATGCATAAGATAAAATGCATATTTGTAATTTTAATTTACCTCTTCTAATAAATGAAACTTAAAAATGATACGTGTTTTAGAATGTTTCTTTAACACATGTTATTTTTCTATGACTTTTATTATTTCATTTTTTTTATAACAAATCAAATTCAATTCAAATTTTGAAAATACAAAATCATATCCTAATAATATTATTATGTTTATTTTGCTTAACAAATTAATTCATAATTACTTACAATCGACAATATTTTGGTTTTTTTTACATTTATTTTTATCTATATAAAAATTTTAAATATACCGACCGTGGTTTCCACTGGTTATAACCTAGTAAATGATATAAAATTTTCAATTATTTTATAAACCAGATAAATATCCATTGAAATAAACAATCTTTAAACTCCATTATTATCCCTCTTTACATATTCTCTCTTTCTTCATCATCTCTTGTCCTATCTTCAACCACCACTAAGGACCATGGTACAATTAACATCAAACCATAATAAGCACTTCAAATAAGAAGTCCTAAACACCCACTAATTGAAACCCTAGAGCCACCATCCCAAAACTGACGGATGAAGAATATGGAGAATCGGTAATGACAAAAACGAGCAAATGGATATGAATCTTCAGGTAGCTACGACAGTTGCTGTAATATTTGGATAGTACAACTGGAACGTACTTAAAGATGATAAGATTCCGGCAGTCGCCTTCACCTAATGAAAAGCCCCTTCTCATACGTTGATCTGGTTCGTTAAAACAATTACTATTTGCTTCTAACACGAATTCTACCTTTCAAAATTATCTTTGTTTGAAGCTTTGCCTATTAGGGTTCTTGTCACCGAACTGTGCTTAAGATCGGGTTTCTACCAAATCGAGTATCTCTTTCATTAGTATATTGAATGTTTTGAAATGTTATCCACTCGGATGAGTTTCAATTCCCAAATTAGTGCTCTTAATTCATCTTTTAGGCCCTGAAGTTGCACTTTGACACACTCATAACTCATAACATTACAGGAGGAACTCATAACATCACAGGTTCCTCCAAGTATCACATCATCTTCAAAAACAAAAAAAGAAAAACATAACTTAACATAACCCATCAAAGATAATGTAATAAGATCTATACAATACAATTGAAAACAACATTTTAGTTCATAAGTTTAACAAACCATAGAGGCATAGACTCGTATAATTCCTCAATAAAGCATATAAAAATAACACACAGTTGTATTAGAGTCAAAATAAATAAAAACAGTATCCCAAAACACACTTCTACTCATTCTTCCATGCACACAACACCAAAGAAAAGCCCAAAGTTTGTGAATGTCGATCCTTACTCATAGTTGACCAAGAAGGATCCTCACTCCCCCACAATTTCTCAGCAGAAAGACAAGTCTGAAACAAAAAGACCGCATTGCCCATAAATTTCTCAAATAGCCAACTATGAACATCCCAATAAACTTCCACTGGCAACCCATCAACTAAAATAGTATAATTTCCTCTAAATTTCCATTTTAAGCACTTCACTTGCATTACAGGGTTACCATCTATTCGTATCAACAAATACGAATCATTCATACACATTGTATCACATTCAATTGTTATATCATGAATCTGACCTTTTCCACAAAATTGTGCTCTAGTTGAATACGCCTTCTTCCCAAAAATATGTGCTCTTTTTGAAACAAAAACAGCATTTGGAACCAAACTTGTTGCATCTATCTTTTTGTGCACTTCCTTTTCCATATCTCCTAAAACCAGTATTAGTTCTTGGTTCATGGAAATAGCAAAATAGAAACCTTCGATTGGCTCAGGTGAAGAATCGAATTTTGCGTATGATAAATCCCAGTAAATAGCAATCAACTTTGAACCCACTTCTAGATTCCTGTACCCTCTTCTTTTAGAGAACAACCATGGCTTAATGTCGAGTTTGCATAGACATTGGTTGTTTGAATCGTTGATTTCAACAGAAAGACTTTGACCCATTAAGGTTTTAGTCCAAGTGAGAGTTATGATGAAGTAAGAGAAATTACGCATTCGACACTGGTAAACACAAGTCACGAGATTTTGGGCAATTCTGTTAGTGGAAGTAGTTGTGGTGATATCACCTGATGAAGAAGAAGATCCGGCCACTTGAATGCCATTTTCACCAAAACAAGAAGGAAAGTCCCTCATTGGTAACCTCAAAACCAAATATTTCACTAAAGTATCATAAATTTTGGTGGTTATAATCTTTAATTAGAAGAAACTACAAAACCCACCCTTACCTCCAATTCAAAGAAGAATTTATGGGTAACCTCTCAAATCACCCAAAATTCAAGATTTCTTGAAGTTTTAAAGATTCAAGATTTCTTGAATTTTCAGAGAAAAGATTCAAGAATGATGTCATTGGTGAAGAAAATGGCTTCACAATGTGTGGGTAACTTTCTAAATCACCCAAAATTCAAGACTTGAACTTTGAGAGAGAAATTCAAGAATGATGTCATTGTTGAAAACACTGGGTTCTGGTTGAGAAGAAAATAGGAATTATGCAAGCTTCTTTTATCCACTCAGTATCTCTCTCACACAGAAACACACAGTGGCACCACCGGAATGAGTGGGGGTTTTCATGCTTTGGGTGTCTTTTTATGATTGACAATTTAGCGTAATAAATGGTGTTTATGAAGATGTTTTGGATAAGAAAGGAGTCATGCTAAAAAGCTATCATTTTGATCATGAAAAGAGGGAACATCTAGAAATGGGGTATTGTTAGTGGTTATGGGTACTACTGTTTTTTCATCATACAATTACAAACCATGGTTTGCGTGATTAAAGTGATCATTTGATGGACCATGTCATTGAATTTGACACTTTATGAGCTCCCAACTTAACTTAATATCTAAATAACACAATTGTTGGGTTCAAATTGGTATTATTAAATCCAAATAATCTTTTTAATATTGTGTTGGTTTTCTAAGTCCTTATATGGCGGAATTGATTGATAAGAAGGTCATCGACCACACGTCCTTGCATTATCAATTATGTGTGAAAGAAGCAACAATATGGACCAAGGATGTGTCGCCTCCAATTTAAAAGAAAAAACAAATTATACCATTACAATTTACAAACCGTAAACATAAAGATATTTTGTGACTAAAAAGTTAACAGTTGCTTAATGTTTGTTATTTTACTGTGTAGTGTAAATAACATTTCACTTGTATAAATATAGATCATTACTATTTTTCAGTTAAGTTTATATAAAATGGTAAAAACTGATAAATTTGTTTAAAAACGTCATATAAAATAGCGCAATGTTGGAATACAGTTTAAAAATCTTTACTCAAGAAAATATAAATTCTGAAAATTAAAATCACTTTTTTCTCGTCAAATTAGTGTCTAGTACAAAATATTAAGCAAAATTTGACCATAACAAAAAATAACAATGATTTAAACCGGTTCACAAGTAGAATTAAGTATGAAACCAAATCCAAAAAGTCAAATAATGTAAAATAAAAACATAAAATAGTTTTGGTTCAACGTCAAAACTGGTTTTAAGTTGTACCAAATTCAACCGAACTCATAAATCACGTTGTAAAATAATTAAAACCCATAAACCTATTCGTGTTTTTTTCATGTTCTGATTTTTTAAATCAACATACAAATCGGAATATGACAAGCCATAATAACTCGAATTTGTTTTTGCCATGTGTAGTTTGTATAGGTGAAGCAACCAATTGTTTTTTCTTGTAATATCACTAAGTGGCATACCAACTACTAATATTATTTGGTCAATAGCCACAAGGTGTAATATAGGTGCTTTAGCATTTTGATATTGACATTATACCAGAAGAACCCTTCTTACTTAGTATTTTCACAATAAATCACCATGGATGATCCTTCAAGATTGAGTAATGGGGTGGCTTCAATCTCTCTTCTCCCCTTTCAAGATCCTATGGAACCGAATTCAGTCAACACACATCCGTCGTCACAAACGTAAGTATTTTAATCAGTTTTGAAGACAAAGAGTGTGGTATTGTTTTTGGTTTGATATTTCATGGTGATGTTTGGATTGTGTTTTTGTTTATTTGTAGGTAATGGATTGTACGTGTTGTATGAAGATGTAAAGTGTTGCTCATGTGAAGATGTGCAAATGTTGTGGTCGATGTTGGTTGGACCTGAAGCTAGTTTTGTTATATGAAATAAAAGTGCATATATATTGAATACAATATTTTTCAAATTGTTGTAAACGATGTGTCTAGTTAGTGCCTTTTTTTGTTTGTGTTAAGGATAACATCGTACGTCTCTATGACATATTTGATTGTGTTGTGTACCGGTAAACGGTTGTAAAAGATGTGTAATTATGATGTTAGTATATGATCTAAGTTTGGATATAATTGTTTGTATTTTAGATCATCCTATTTTATATAGCTTTTTGATTTCCACATTTGAAATAATTGCTCAAATGTGTCTTATTTTTTTGAGATGTCTAGATATGCTTTAAGTGAAACTAAGACCTAATAATGAAAAGTAATTTAATTGAAATGTAATTCGATATGTATCCTAGTTTATAACCGATTCGAGTCCCCAACTAAGTCAACTAGTGTAATACTCGACAGTTGGTCGGGTTGGTCGATGAAGAAACAAATGAAAAATTATACTTTATTTTATAGCATTAAACATGATCCCTTATAGGTTAATGTTTGGCTAATTTGATTACCAAACATAAAACTTTACCTTTATACATGTTAATTTTTTGGTCATATATTTTTCAAACTACAACGTTTTAATATAAAGACTGACAATACAACACTATAAATGGCTAGAATTTTCAAAGTATAGTGTATTAATAAGAAACTTACTAAAAGTAAAATGCTATAATTAAATAAAAAATTCAATGTACAACACCTAAAGTAGAAAAAATCATTATTAACCCAAATTAACATAATTTATATAAAACTCACATTATTGACGAGGCGTTGATGCCGTGGAGGTCCAGAACCACCATTGTATAACTCTAGAAGATTTTCGCTTCTTTATAGTGTTTGTGTTTTTATGCTTTAAAACCAAAAAAATAATCAAACCCCACCAAGTTAAATGATAAAGAGTAAATTACACGAATGGTCCCTGTGGTTTGGGGTAATTTACACGTTTGGTCCCTAACTTATTTTTTTAACTCGGAAGGCCCCTGCTGTTTATTTTTGTTGCGTGCTTGGTCATTGTCTTACCTAAAAAGACTGTTTTGCCCTTGATTTTTTAATTTATATAAATAAACACACCCCCAACCTCACTTCCGCCTCACATTACCTTACCTTACCTACCCCCACATTATTTAAATAAATTAAAAAATCAAAGGCAAAATAGTCTTTTTAGATAAGACAGGGACCAAGCGCGCAACAAAAACAAACTGTAGGGACCTTCCGAGTTAAAAAAATAAGTTAGGGACCAAACGTGCAAATTACCCCAAACCATAGGGACCATTCGTGTAATTTACTCAATGATAAAAGAAATATCAACTTTGTCTAGAAATATAGTAAATTTACCTTTGAAATGTGCAGGTCCATTTTCAGAACCATCATTGTAACTCAAGTTCAAGAGGGTTGGAATAGCAATGGCAATCTTAGTATAAAATTATAAAGATTTTTTAATCAATGCCTATTTGTTTTGACCAAGAATAGGGAAAAAAAAAACTTATCCCGGTTTCTTGGTGAGAAAACACCATGATCGGAAATAGTGTTGGTATATTGTGTAGTAGTTGAGACATGGAATAAATATATTTTACTTGTAGGTGTATTATATCATCCTACTCGTCTGAATCGAATATAAAAAATTCAATCAATTTCTAATTTTATTTTCATACATATCTTCAATTTGCTAATTCAATCACGTAACATAGATTTGAAACATGACATGTTAGTCAGACGTTTAAATGTACTTAAATGTAAACTCAATAAGGCATTCTAAAAAACATTAAGTAACATATAAGAAATCTATTTAAAAATTAGATTGGACAAATATGATACTTTGATGTTTAAGAATGACAAAATACAAATTCTCCCTATAGAAAAACTAATAAAAATACGTTGTTATATCTTTTATTTAACTCTTCTTTATTTTCAAAATTAAGATGTTAGTATATACAAATCAATGAAAGTATAATGCTATAACTTTTTTAAAGTAGAATATTTTCATAAGAAAAAAATGTACAATGATATACTCCATACTTCGGTTTTGTTGTAAACAATCCAATGTTTTTTCATAGATGTAAAAATAAAACTAAACTACATCATTCGCTGCTACACCTTCTTTCTTATCAGTTGGTCCGGTTGGGTAGATCATAATAACTGAAGTCATATGATCATAACGTTTTAGTATGAGGTAGTTTTTCTTGATGACATTTCTATTATTAAGTTGTTTTTTTAAAAGTCAAATGCTGTAATGAGATGTTCACAAAACATTAAACATTTGACTTTTCAAAGTCCGCCAAGAAGTAATAGAATTTAATAATATGAATAGTTTGATTAAAGTGTAAGTAAGACAAATAGAACAACAAAAGTAGAAGCGACATGCATTTTAGGCCATGAATGATAATTGGTTACAGTAGCGTTTATCTTTCTTGTCAACTTGATATCTACTCATCAAAATTTGAATATAGTGTCATCAAATTATTATGTCACACGTATTGGTAAATAACAAGGTTATGCTAGTAACACAACTTCACGGGTAGAGTGAGATACATATTATGTGGGCAAGTTTTCAATTAAATTGATCTCGATAATTATGAGGAATTTTATGCATGCAAATGAGACAAATATTTTGTGTATTAAAAATTGATTGTGTAGTGGAAAATATTGTGGTGACAAAAGATTAGAAGTTCATAACTTCACATGAATGTAAATGGGCTGGGAGGGTAATGTTTTGTCCAAATATCGGCCCAGCCCACACAATAGAACGAGGCATATGTTTTCTCGGACTACAAATGCATTGCAATTTAATCGTAGGGTTGCAATCTCTCTTTGTCGACTACTCAGCGCCAGCGGAACAAAGAGCAACAGCCGTCGTCGATCGGAGTAGCTGATCTGAGGTTTGTCCCGCCTTGATTTCTTATTCATAGGAAACTTATTGCAGAACATGCATTCCTAAATCTCCATGTATTGCTTTATTTTTGTCGAATAATCAATTGTTTTCGCGAAAAGGGT